ATTATACACTTTTTGACCTGGATTTTTAATTAAATAAAGTACTAAATATAGAACTTTAATATTACATTTTGAACTATATATATTCGTAGAATCTTTATTGATTATTTACGCATGTCGTACTAATATAAATTAAAAAAATAATAATGATGTGATATAAATTGATTACATGCAAACGAGTTGATTGTAATTTTTTTTTAGTTGTTATTAAGAAAATTTAATTGTAATTAGAACGCGCGCGCACGCGCGCACACACACACACACACACACACACACACACACACACACACACACACACACACACACATCTGACTATAATTTATATAAACATATATATATAAAACTATATATTTCTATTTCAAATATTAAATTAAATGATAATAGGATTTCGAGTAAAAATTTTCAAAAATAAAAAATATAAATATTGTAAATTAAGAACTAAATTAGTGTGGTAAATAATATGCAATTCTTAATAGCGATTTTTTAATGAATAAATACAATTTTTATAGTATTAGATACGGAAGTAAATACATGATAAAATTTCTATATTAATATCATAAATTTTATTTATTTAAAAACATGACATAAAGAATTACACACACACTTACAATATAGGCTTCAATAGCTCTTAATTTGAATTATTTATATTCATATTTTAATTATTTATATTTTAAACGAGTAAGTACTATGTTAGTTCTATCAAGTTCTAAAGGGAAATTGAAAACATAATTTCACCTTAAACAGTATGGAAACTCTAATGGACTTACATTACGCGGATGAACATGATATGTTTGTATTTTATCATAGATATTATGATATGATCTGACGTTGGATCGTTAAGGCTTTCAAGGCTTTTTTCTTAATTGAAGGTTATGTTGAAATATTACGCAATTGTATAATATGATATGAATGATATAGCAAGAAAAATAATACTATTAATGGAATTTTTATATTCTAGAAAAATTGTTTTACACTTTGCATAATTGTTTTAATCTTTAACATTAATCGACTGATCTACTTTATAGTATTTACTGATACAAATGTATATACATAATATTTTCTTATGTTGTAAAACATTCCAAATATACATATAATCACAAAAATTATTTACTTAGAAAATTGTCGTCAATACCAATTTTTAAAGCGTTCCACTGCGCGTTTCCATTGATTTAATGCATATTGATAAGATAAATACGATTCTTCATTTGGTTTGAATATCTTCTCCATTTGATTAAGTTTTACTATTTCTTCTCTATCTTTCCATAGTCCTATAATATATTACAAATAATTATTTATTAAGCATAATTGCATATTTGTATGTAGATTGTATAATTTTCAATATTCGATAATTACACTTTAGCATAAAAAAATGTTTAATAATAAAATATGTAATTTTGTCATATCCAATAATTTTTTGTATTATACAGGGTGTTCCGCAGCATATGTAACACCGCCCGTGAGAAGATAGATGGGAGCGAGATAAATGAAAATGTCTTATACCATTTTGCGATATTCGCAATAATTTTCGAGTTATTAAATATTAAAGTTGCACAAATAAGAGCGCGCGAGAAGAAAGCGCTCACCCGCCTGACTCGTTACCTTTTTACCAGCGATGTTACACATGCTACGGGACACTCTGTATATCTTAAATATTATAATATTAAACTAAACATGAATGATAAAAAATATTATTTATCTATTTAATTATATACTTAAATGTATAAAAAAATATAAAATTTTGAATACGTTGCCAAATTATGAAATATATAAAGTAAACTATAGTAATAATAAATAAAGAAGTTTGTACCACATTGTAAACCAGCCAAGAAAGCTACTCCTAAAATGGACATCTCGACAAATGCCGGACGTTCTACTTCCAATCCTGTCGAATCAGCTAATGATTGCATCACGAAATCATTTTTGGAAACTCCACCATTGATTCTGAGAGACAACATATTAATACAAATTAAAATATTGTGTATATTAATAATAAATATAGTTATTACAGTGGAAATAATAGAAAATAGAAATCCCTCTCTCTCTCTC